ACAGTTATGTGGGTACAGACTACAAAAAAATTAAGGAAGGCATAGGAACCACAATGCTGTTAAAGTACAACTAAAGGCAAAACCTTTTTCTTTTTTTTTTTTTTTTTTTTAAGGTGGAGAGAAATTAGAACCCCCGTCTCTGGCCCCATTAGGGAGATTCATCCTCTCTATTTGTCCTGCTTACCAATATTATCAAAAGTGAAAGTAAAAGAAAATCCCAAATTTTGGGTTGACAGAGCAGGAATAGAAGGGAAATCTTCCACTAGGGATGACCTTGCTGCCACCCTGGGATTCCCTCCTTTTGTTGTTTGTTCCAAAAGTCATGGCAAGATGAACTGGTAGGTGGAGGGGGCCCTCGTTAAGAAGGGATTTCCTCTCACTTTCTGTTTTAGCTATGGGACAGGAAGTGAAGGGAAATCTCCCCTATGGGACACAGATGGGCAAAAAAAAAAAAAAAACTGTAGTACAATGTCCCCAAAAACACAGCATTAGCAGGATCAGTCCCGGCACCTGCCAGAACCTGTGTTTAGCCCCTATGCTAAACTGCAGGATTAGCAAGATCAGGCCTGATCTCTGCTCGCACTAGCAGGTAATTTTTTTTTGTAGTGGTTCAAGCAGTCCCTGACAGCCAGGTGCTCTTTTTCCCGTGAGTCGCACTAGGTACCTATAAAATTTAGTGGCCAAAATGTCCAACGAAAGGTACACTAGTGAAGGATGCTGAGCATTTCAGATAAGAGTGAAGGGGAAGCCTCAAGGACAGAATCTGCCTCAGAATACGAACCTGTAGAGAGCAGCGGCACCCTGACAGATAGCTCAAATGATGGAGTAGAGGTCCCTGATAAAGTCAGGCATATGCCACCCCATTCACAGGTTGCTGAGGTGTTACAATTGCATGATGATTCTCATATACAGCAGAGTGCCAGTACTAGTGCCGCTCTACCTTTTGATGCTCATTTTGTGTGAAGATATGCTGGATAAGCCATAGAGATCCAAAATGTAGTGGAGGTCAAGCAAAATAGACTGATGGACAAAGAAGTAACCAAATAGTGATTTCACTAGATCAATTAAATTGAGCCATCCTTAATACATGTGTATGGTTATAGAGTGTCCTGGTCAGGAAAGGAGCAGCTGATTATTATTATTATTATTATACAGGATTTATATAGTGCCAACAGTTTGCGCAGAGCTTTACAAAATGAAGGTAGACATTACAGTTACAATACAATTTGATACCAGAGGAAACAGAGGGCCCTGCTCGTTAGAGTTTACAATCTAGCTGATGTAATCCAAAGGAGGACAATAAGATGTGAAGGCTGCCTATGGATGTAAATCCGCTTTCATATATGGATAGACACACCTCTCTCATACATAAAGCCACTTGAAGCTGGTATGCTTCCATGCAGGTGAGCATCAATAATGCAGGTGCAGAAAGCTGGCACATATCTCATGAATGGTGCAGTGAAGATAGCAACATTTCATTCCATCAGTACAGAGTATAGTCCCTCTTGTCAAGGTATAAGAGAATAGTATACTTATCAGTCCATAGTACAGAGAAACATCATAGATCCAGGTGTTACCAAAGACCCTGCCTGACAAGTTTTGTCGGCCCCCCTCCCCAGCTGCATCAGAGGCTGATATCAAGTTTGAGTCCATCTGGCTTTTTAAAGACTCAAGATTGCGCCGGGATGAAGTGTGCATGCGCTGTGTGTGCTGACGTCATGATGCACGCACATGATGTCACATGCGCGCGTCATGATGTCAGCACGCACCATGCATGTGAATGGCGTTTCCCATAGCAATTAATCCGTTCCAGAGGTCAGAAAAAAGTAAATGCTACTAGAATACCTTATGAGTTATTTTATCAAGTCATGTGGTATTTTAATAGTGACAACCATGTGTTAATGTTTCAGCTGTCAGCGGGGTTCCCCACTGATAGCTGAATGTAAAAGAATTGCCGTCAATTAAAAAAATAAACGGCGTGGGGTCCCCCCTCCCATCCATACCAAGTCCTTCGGGTCTGGTATGGATTTTGAGGGGAACTCCTGCGCCAAAATTTTAAGAAAACTGGTGTGGGGGTCCCCCCCAAAATCCATACCAGACCCACTGGGGAACATAATCCCTAGCAGTAGTACAAGAGAGCTGTGCTATCTGAGCCGCCTGAAAGGTGCTGTTTTTTAAATGTAATTACTGTTTTGTTTTTTTTTCTTCACCATAGCTCAGATATTCAGCTGTCACTTTCCACCCAGCTAAAAGAGAGAGTTTTCTTTTAGTTTATTTCTCCAAGTTAAAAGACACAATGCTTCCTTTTAGTTTCTTAAAAGAAACAAAGTTTCCTTTAACTCTGAGGAAAGCGACAGCTAATCCTGTGAGCTATAGTGAAGAAAAGCCAGCAATTGCATTTAAAAATCAGCATCGACATACTCTTCGTGTTGCAAAAAAAATTAGTACAAAATTCGTAAACCGAGGCATTATTTTCAGTGTATTTTCATACGTAAACTGAAAATTACATTAACCAAGGCATTCGTAAACCGAGGTACCACTGTATATGGAATTACACCCCAAAATACATTCCGCTACTTCTCCCAAGTATGGGGTGTATTTTGGGGTGTAATTCCACATATACTCATGGCATGTGTAAGCAATAAACCATGACAACTTTGTGTAAAGTTTTTTTCCAAAAACTTGTTTAAAAAAATAAATAAATCTTCCATAGACTCAAGATGCCTTTCAGCAGACAGCATAGGGTGTTTACTTTCCGAAAAGGGGTCTTTTGGGGGTGGTTTTACTGCCCTGGCATTCTAGCACCTCAAGAAATGTGATAGGCAGTCAGAAAGTAAAAGCTGTGTAATTTCCAGTATCCATACCATAGTTCGTAGATGCTATAACCTTCACACAAACTAATTAATATACACTTATTGAGATTTTTGATTTACCAAAGATATGTAGCAAAATACATTTTGACCTAAATTTATGATGAACTTTGAGTTTATTGGATATTTTTTATAACAGAAATGAGAAAATAATGGGGTTTTTTTTCAAAATGTTCAGCACGCTGTTAACCCTTTGATCACTCCAGATGTTAACCCATTCCTGCCCAGTGCCATTTGTGCAGTGTCAGTGCTTTTTATTAGCACTGATCATTGTATTAGTGTTACTGGAGATGTCAGTTGCAGTTAGTTCCCATCCAGTGTCAGAATGCCTGCCACAGTTCTGCTATAAATTGCTGATCGCTGCAATTACTAGTATAAAAAAAAAAAAATTCCAGTATATATACACCGCCATTTGTAGATGCTATAACTTTCATGTAAACCAATTAATATACATTAAGTTTGTTTGTTATTTTTTTGTTTACAAACAGTTCTATTTTGCAAAAGTAGACTGTAAGACAACAGTACAGTGTCAAGAGATACTTACAGCAAAAACAAGGCACTTTTAAAAAGTACAATACAGAAAAGTATACTAATATAAGAAAGGAGGAAATAGAAAGTAGAAAAAAAAAGATTGCAAGTACATGAAAACGTAGACAATTAAATAGGTTGAATGTTACATCTGTCAACAGTATATGCCAGTCAATCTTCACATGGGATGTTGTTAATCATGCAATAAATGTCTATAATCCTTCCATGATTCCCATTTTTTTTATCAAGGAAGGTATAATGAATACGCTCCATGAGCATTACAGCATCAACTCTGTGCAAAACGGAGGTTAAGGGTACAGTATTGGACTTCCAATGTGAGGCCACAGCCCACAAAGTGGCAATACAAATAGTATGTATCAGTCTCATAATGAAATCAGAGACCCCCGGAATAGGAGCCCAGAATAAACAGGTCTGTATAGACAGTCGTACTGGGATACTTGCCAATGAGGCAGCCACCTCAGATAACTTGCACCAAATCAAAGATGTGGTCGGGAAATCCCAAAATATATGAACCAAAGTACTTGTGAGGCCACAGCCACGGAAACATAAAGGGGATGTTTGTGGGAACAATACATGTAGTCTTGATGGAGTATAATACCATCTGGTTAAGACCTTAAGGGCAGTCCCACGAACAGAAAGATCTAGAACTCCTGCATATGTTATCCACCATGGAATCCCAGTCCTCATCTGAAAGAGTGATACCACTATCCTCCTCCCATTTTTGTCTATATAGAGGGGGCATAGGAGAAAGACAGATCAAAAATTGGTGATAAAGATCAGAAATAAGACCCCCTACCCCTAGGAGAGTCTCAGCTGATGAGTTCAAAAAATGAAATTGGAGAAGAGGGTATAAGACCAAAATGTGAATTTAAAAAATGTCTAATCTGTTGATAGCGATGATATTCACGAAGAGGAACGTCAAAAAACATGCGCAGCATATCAAAAGTAATAGAAGATCCTCCTCTTTGAAAATCAGATAATCTAATAAAAGATTAATCATACCACCAACGAAACGTTTGAGGGGAGGAAAAAGCTGCAATGAAAGTAGGATCACCAAAAAATTAAACACCTGGAGGAACAGAAGAGACCAGATTTAATCTAAATTTGTATTTGGACAAAAGTGTCAGTGAATGTGTCACTATGGAGTTATGAAATGTACATGTTTGTTATTTTAATTAAAAAACAAATATCATTTAGTAACACTTTAAGGTAAAAAACCTTTTATGTGCAGCTTTCCCCCAGCACCCCCTAAATACTTACCTGAGCCCAATCTTAATTCAGCACTGCTCCCTGTCTTCCTCCTCACTGGACTCATTTGGAGCAGCAGGAGCCATTGGCAAACAAACCAAAGAACCAAACAAACATGCTAACCCAAACAGCATCCTGCAAAACCATACTATCGGCAGAAGAGGTCACCATGCTTGTCCCCTGGACTGTTCAAAAACACAAAAATAGAGTCAGACCTCTAAAAGGTGGCCTCTGAGAGCAGTACCCAGGAACCGCTCAGACCACAACCAAGGTGTCAGGGTCCTACCTTTCCTCAGACCTTGTGCTGCTCCATGTGTTGGCATCCATCTTAGGTGTCTGCAAAGCATTGTGGGATCCTTTATGCTTTCAGCCCTCTGCGGCTCCTCCCCCAGGAGGTGGCGGCTTATCACATATAAGTCTGCTGTTTGTGGCTGTCCATTGCATTCGTGTCCTGTCTGTTGCACGACAGCAAGCTCCTGTTTAGCTACTCATTGCTTTCCTGGATACCGACTCGGCTTTGGCTAAGACTCCTCCTGGCTTCTGACCCCGGCTCTGGCGACCATTCCTCCTGGCTCCTGATCCCGGCTCTGGCGACGATTCTTCCTGGTTCTTGACCCCGGCTTTGGCTACGATTTCCGCTGTTGGACTTGCACAGACTCGTGTCTTATTTTTATAGTAATAAACCTACCTTAATTGCACCTCCTTGTGTGTCTGGCTCCTCGCTCCCTGACACTACACGAATGCCATGAATCCTGACGGTGCAGGTAAACCCCCGCTCCCTATGTTGGTTGCCAGTCTTTATCAGAAGGATCTCTTGTTGGCTCAGTTCGCTCAGAACTTTGCAGACGTTGCTTGCACGCACATCGCACCTTGCTCCTGGTGCTATTAGGCCGGTTGTCACTCCTGTGGTCGCTCCGGTTGTTGCGCCTACCTCCGCATCTGCTGCCGCACCTGCGGTGCCCAGAGGTATGACTGGTTCAGCCCCCCTTCCACAGCGCTTTGGGGGTGAACCGAGTTAGTGTCAGGGTTTCCTTAACCAAGTGGGCATATATTTTGAATTGATACCCCACGCTTTTCCTACTGAGAGGTCAAAGGTGGGCTTCCTAATCTCGCTGATCTCGGACAAGGCCTTGGCAAATCCCTTATGGGAGAACAATAACCCTGTGATTCACGAGTTTGCCGGTTTTGTTGCCTCCTTCCGTACGGTATTTGATGTGCCTGCTCGCTCCACCTCTGCTGCTAAGTTGCACATGTCCATGCATCAGGGTTCATGAACCGTTGCCAAGTACGCCATAGAATTTGGTACCCTGGCAGCAGAGGCGGGTTGGAACAATGAGGCTCTGGTGGCTGCTTTCTCTCGTGGTCTCTCAGAGGCGTTGAAGGACGAGATTGCAGCCAAAGAACTACCTGTGGAGCTCGAAGCACTCATTTCCTTCCTAATTCTGATTGACACCAGGCTCAGGGAGAGGCCTTCACTTAAGGAGCATCTGCAGAGGCCTCCTAACTGATTGGCGCCTACGTTTTCTGCCCCACCCGTTCCTCCCTCTCCTCCTACGCCTCCTGGGGATGGCTTGTCTGGCGGTGAGCCCATGCAGCTGGGGTTTTGCTCGCCTTTCCGAGGGGGAGCGGGCCTCTCGGCGTCGGGAGGGTCGCTGCCTGTACTGTGGTCTCAGTGGGCATTTGCAGCAGTCCTGTCCGGTCCGTCCGGGAAACGCTTGCACCTGAGATCCTGTCGGGGGCAGATCTTGGGTGGAGTTTCCTTGTCCCCGGTTTCCCGCAAAGAGAAACCGCTAATCACCATTGTCCGCTCTTGGGCGGAAGGCTCGGTGACGGCCCAGGCGTTGGTAGACTCTGGTGCTGGCGGGTTGTTTATGGACAGTTCGTTTGCTGCCCAGTACTCCATTCCTCTGCAGGCTCGAGTTACTCCATTGGTCCTCGAGGCGATAGATGGCAGGCCCCTGCAACCGCCGCAGGTTACCCACGAGACCCTGCCGGTAGAAGTAGCTATTGGGGCTGTTCACAGGGAGTTGGCCTGTTTCCAGGTAATTTCTTCCCCGCACTACTCCATGGTTTTGGGATATCCCTGGCTTCAGAAGCACAATCCGACCTTTGATTGGCGGTCGGCCGAGATTCTCTCGTGGTCTCCACAGAGTGGGGCTAGTTGCATCCGTGGACCTGTTAAGGTGTTGTGTGCCTCCTCGGACTCTGTGTTGCCCACTGACTATGGAGAGTACCTGGACGTGTTTGACAAGGTGCGCGCCAGTGCTCTGCCTCCTCATCGTCCATACGATTGTGCCATAACCTTACAACCCGGTGCCACTCCTCCGCATGGCAGGGTGTATCCTCTTTCGGTTGCGGAGAATCAGGCCATGGAGGAGTACGTTGCGGATGCGCTTTCCCGGGGGCACATTCGCAAGTCTACTTCTCCAGCAGGAGCTGGCTTTTTCTTCGTGAAAAAGAAGGGCGGTGAATTGAGGCCTTGCATTGATTTTAGGGGTCTCAATCGAATCACAATTAAGAATGCTTATCCAATTCCGTTGATAACCGAGTTGTTCGACCGCCTCAAGGGGAGCAACGATCTTTACTAAATTCGACCTTAGGGCTGCGTACAACCTCGTACGGATCAAGGAGGGCGACGAGTGGAAGACCGCGTTCAACACCAGAACCGGCCACTATGAATCCCTGGTTATGCCCTTCGGGTTGTGTAACGCGCCCGCGGTCTTTCAGGAGTTCATTAATGATGCCTTTCGTGACTTGTTGCAGCAGTGCGTGGTGGTTTACTTGGACGACATTCTGGTTTACTCTGCGTCCATGGAGTCTCATGTCCAGGATGTTAAGTGAGTGCTGCAACGATTACGTGAGAACGAGCTTTTCTGTAAGCTTGAAATGTGAATTTCACCGATCCCAGGTCGCCTTTTTGGGCTACATCATTTCCGCTGTGGGATTTTCCATGGACCCTCAGAAGGTTTCGGCGGTTCTGCTGTGGCCTCGTCCCAGTGGTCTTTGGTCCATTCAGCACTTTTTGGGATTCACCAACTATTATTGGAAGTTTATCAGGAACTTCTCCACGCTGGCCAAGCCTCTCTCAGATCTGACCAAGAAAGGCAGTAATCCCCACGAGTGGTCATCCGAGGCCATCTTAGCTCTGAAATCCCCCTTCGCTTCGGCTCCGATACTGTCTCATCCCAATCCTGGGTTGCCTTTTGTCCTTGAGGTTGATGCATCTGAGACGGGAGTAAGCGCCCTCCTGTCTCAGCATCAGTTGCCCGATGGACCCCTACTTCCCTGTGGGTTCTACTCCAGGAAGCTTTCCTCCGCAGAATGCAACTACCAGATTGGAGACAGGGAGTTGTTGGCCATTATTCAGGCTCTCAAGGAATGGAGGCACCTGCTCAAGGGTTCTGCAGTTCCGGTTCTCATTCTCACTGACCACAAGAACCTGACGTATCTCTCGGAAGCTAAGAGGTTGACGCCCAGTCAGGCCAGATGGGCTCTGTTCTTGTCGCGTTCTAACTATGTGGTCTCCTATTTGCCTGGCTCTAAGAATGTCAGGGCTGATGCCTTGTCGTGGCAATACTCTGAGCTGTCCAGGGAGGACTCTGAGCCGACCTCGGTCATACTTCCAGATCAGATCCTGGCTGCCATTCGTTCCAGTCTGAATTCTCCCCTTGGGGAGCAGATTTTGGCAGCTCAAACTGATGCTCCCTCTGAGAGACCAGCTGGTAGATGTTTCGTACCTGAAGGATTGCGCATCTGCTTGCTGCATACCTACCATAATGCCAAGACTGCCGGTCATCCAGGGTAGAACCAGTTGTTCTGGGTCGTTTCTCATTTATTCGGACATCGCCTCATATGTAGCGGCATGTTCTGTCTGTGCCCAGAATAAAACTCCTCTGCATCTTCCATTGGGCCTTCTGCAACCCATTCCCAATGGGGAGCGTCCCTGGTCACACCTGGGCATGGATTTTATTGTAGACCTCCCTGCGTCTCGAGGCTATACGGTCATTCTTATGGTCATTGATCGTTTCTCCAAGATGTGCCATTGTGTTCCGTTCAAGAAATTGCTGACTGCGCAAGAACTGGCTACGGTTTTCACCAGGGAGATCTTTCGCTACCATGGGTTACCTAAGGTGATTGTCTCGGACCGTGGGGCCAGTTTGTGTCCAGGTTCTGGCACGCCTTCTGCTCCCAGTTGGGTATAAAGCTCTCCTTTTCTTCGGCCTACCACCCGCAGTCCAATGGGGCTGCGGAGCGTTCCAACCAGGCCCTGGAACAATTCCTTCGCTGCTATATCTCTGGCTATCAATACAATTGTGTCGATCTCCTGCCATGGGCAGAGTTTGCTAGGAACTCGGCTGTCAACTCCTCCTCCGAGATGTCTCCCTTCATGGCCAACTATGGGTTCCAACCCGCTGTATTGCCTGAGTTGTTCTCGCCACAGGACATTCCGGCTGTGGATAACCATCTTGCTGCCCTGCGTTCCTCGTGGGGGCAGATCCAGAGGTCCTTGAAGGACTCTGCTCAGCGCCAGAAGCTCCAGGCTGATCGTAGACAGTTGCCCGCTCCTTCATATCAGGTCGGAGATCGGGTGTGGTTGTCCACTCGTAACCTCAATCTTCGGGTGCCCGCACCGAAACTGTTTTGTTGTTGGTCCTTTCCGCATCCTCCGCAGGGTGAACCCGGTTGCCTATGCCCTTGCTCTTCCTCCTGGGATGCGTATCCCCAATCTCTTCCACGTATCCCTGTTGAAGCCTCTGGTCTGTAATCGTATGAGGTGAGCCGCATCCTGGACTCTCGGTTGGTCCGTGGTCAGGTGCAGTTCCTGGTCCATTGGCGTGGTTATGGTCCCAAGGAGCGTTCCTGGGTTCCTTCCGCGGATGTTCATGATCCTGCCCTCCTCTGCGCTTTTCACGCCCGCTTTCCACAGAAGCCTTATGTTGAGCCGCGGAGGGGGAGGGGCCCTTGAGGAGGTACTGTCGAGGTCCTACCTTTCCTCAGACCTTGTGCTGCTCCATGTGCTGGCATCCATCTTAGGTGTCTGCAAAGCACTGTGGCATCCTTTATGCTTTCAGCCCTCTGCAGCTCCTCCCCCAGGAGGTGGCGGCTTATCACATATAAGTCTGTTGTTTGTGGCTGTCCATTGCATTTGTGTCCTGTCTGTTGCACAACAGCAAGCACCTGTTTAGCTAATCATTGCTTTCCTGGATACCGACTCGGCTTTGGCTAAGACTCCTCCTGGCTTCTGACCCCGGCTCTGGCGACCATTCTTCCTGGCTCCTGATCCCGGCTCTGGTGACGATTCCTCCTGGCTCTTGACCCCAGCTTTGGCTACGATTTCCGCTGTTGGACTTGCATAGACTCTTGTCTTATTTTTAGATTAATAAACCTACCTTTAAATGCACCTCCTTGTGTGTCTGGCTCCATGCTCCCTGACACAAGGAGTGCAAGCCAACTCCTCAGGCTGCAAAGGCGGAGGACAAAAATTGACACCCTGTTGGAAGGAAAGAAGAAGAAGACTGACCAAGAACACCTTAACCCTGTGCGAAAAACATGAAGGGAGAGTTACTGGACAAGGCTAATAAGGTGGACAACTGCCAAGCAGAAGAGATAGCCATCAAAAAGCTAACTTTCTGAGAGAGTAAGCATGGGAATATCCCAAATGCTATCAAAAGGAGGCTC